GAACTGTTGAACCTTCTTTTGCTTCTGGAAATTTAGCGTTCGATAAATTATTCATTTTTAAATATTTTTCATAAGATAAAATAGCACTATTATTTTTGCACACAAGTTTTTCAATTGCTTCGTCAAACTTTTATTTCATAAGAATAATTGTTTCATCCATATTGAACAAAATTTAAAAAAAACTCAAACTTAAAACACATGTACTGCAGCTATATAATGCATTAAACGTATAACTATGGTATTTTGAAAACAATTGGATGAGAAACAAAAACATATTAGGTATATAGCTGGAGTCCTACCTCAACGAAAATAATAAATTGATCGGGACGTTGGGTTACATTTAATCGTCACTTATTATTGACGTAATCTCGCATTATCTTAATGAAATCTAATGTATAAACTATAACTGAACAATGCCGGGGAATTCATAAAATACCTAGTTAAATTCAATATTACATGTTTTATCGGATTAATTTGCTTAATGTATGTAGTAGCTAGGTATTTCATAAAATACCACCAGTTAATTATTTAACGCTAACAGATACAATTGAATCAGTAATATAGAGGACTTAATACCCTATGTGCTGTTTCCGTCTCTCAAATGTTTGCACGCGATATCACCAAATGTGATCAATTTAATTAAAATAAAAAATCAAAACGTCAACATTTTCAGAAGAAAAACTCTAAAACGGTTATCTTTGAATTTTTCGAAAATAATTATGTTCAGTTAATTTTTTTACCAAAGTGTAAACATTTAATTAGAATAAAAATACGTATAGTTCTTATCCCTGTGAGTAAAATTAAAAAAAAAAAAAAACCTAATTTGATTATTTTTAATATTACGATGGGTATATATCTTCGTGGAACACTTTATAGAATTACAACATATTATTTTTTTTTAAATACGGTATCAGTGAATTTTTAGCACCTTCCCCCCACCATATAAGTACATGACTGAATTAATCGGGAAAATTAGACCAGTATAATGTAAAAAGTTTCGAAGATAAACTATTACAGATTTATCAGAAATCGATTAATGAGTGTTCATCAATTGTTGCCTCACGTAAGAGTAACAATTCAGCTAAACAATTAGCAATAACGTAATTTTGAAATCCACAAAAAACCAAAATATATTAATGATATATGAGCCTCAATGATGTGTGACACTAAATGAGCCTACGCCTCGTTGCGACATTCCCCCGCTAGGTGACTCTTCTCCTGACAGCGGCAACAGGTAGGTTGGTTGCTCACCTAAAACCTAAGACTTATTTTTCAGCCAATATTATGGCCTTTCGGTTCTGTTAGGAAGAATCACGCGGGCGATGAACTCGTATGGCGACCGTCAGTCACCATCAGTGACTCCCGCCTACTGAACAAGACCGTCCTTGACGTCTAGTAGCAGGACGGGGATGCGAAGGTCCGGAATGTTATGTTACTATATTATAAATACACGATTTTACTCCACCTTTTTTGGGCACTGTCATTTCCAGTCCGTATTTTGTACACAACTTTCCTGACTGTTTCACCGCTTTTACAAATGATCATTCGTGTGGAATTCGGGTTCAGTGTTCATCAAAGACTACAGTGTAATACATAGTCGCAGAAATTAGAATCTATTGCAATGTCTCGTAAATTTTATTGTGATATAATAGAATTAAGCTATACGGTATATACTTATGTATATACCATATATAGCTTTACCCACGCATTACGCAGTCGACGAATTTATTCTTACTTTTTATTTTTTCCCGAGAAAAACGATTTGTTTTTGGTTTGGGTTTTTTTTTTTAAAATTATAATTTATTATTTGGGATAATAATTGTTTTGTTTTGTTTTTTTCTCGAAAATACGAAAACACATTTAGCCGTATAATTGACGTATCAACAAAATAATTTGTCATTATTTTATTCTCTTATAATCGCCTTAGAAAATAAAAAACAAACATGCCTATTGTTAAGCTGTTAAGCTATTATTCTTTATTTGTAATTCAATTGTGTTTGTACATCGATCAATTTTTACTTTTTAACTACCGATATTTTAACAATGTTGGTTTTAATTTTAGAATAAATTATCCAAATATCGATTATATTGTAATGGGTAAGAACATCGTCTTTATATATCACGGTTTTTTCGATGTTTGATTTTTCAAGGGAGATAATAAAGCATTTTTAAATTGTTATGATATTTTGCATACAACTTACTGTAATATTAAAAATTAACTGCCCAGAATTGTCCCGGCTGAACACCAATTTGCTTGTCGTGCCTTGCGTTCGTAAATTATGTAAGACACTGAGACACCACACACAGGTATTATGTCTTCTTTATAATATTATAAACATAAGTAGGTTTTAGAATTTTGATGTAAGTAGGTGAACGGCGATAAATAATTATTGTGTATCGCGCGACTAGGCAAAACATTTTTGAATTTTTATACCATTTACCGGGTTTTATACTTATTGGTTTTCTTTTTTTCGTTTATCGGTTTAGACTATATTTATTTTACATTATTATAGACTTTAGAGAGAACATAAATATATACAAAAATCTCAGACGTTAAATCTGGAATGCGAGCAGGTAGGTAAGTCGCAATAATAATATGGATTGCAACGATGATGAGATTTATTCAAAAAGCAATTTAATTGGTCGTGCGCACCAATGCATCGACAAAGACTATCATCGTATTTCACGATGATATTTCGAATATAATTTTGATGTTTCATAATATTTTTAACCTGAAATAATCTTTGGAGTTTATTTTTTTTTTGTCAATCAGATTCTGGGCGATGTTTTACTATGATGTTGGCTTTTTTTCCCCGCCTATTATCAAGTTTCTTAGCAGAAATACTACTCCAATCAACGTCACAAATGGACAGGGAAGTCATGTATGGGGTAGGTAGAGTTTGAACGCTACACCCCCTATCCCTCCCCATAAGATTGACAAAGTGGAACTATAAGGAATATATAACAATAGTCGGGTAAAACTGTATATGAATATCTAAAAAAGTGAGCCCCCCATGATGTTTTAAAAATCTGGCGCCTATGCGAATGGTTTGTGGTTTCAAATTTTGTTTTGTCGGTGCATTGAGGAAATCATATTAAATTTTTATTGTATCTAAATTTCTTAAAAATGAGTGGGAGAAAATCAGGAATATCTATGCAATAATAGTTTCTATTAATTTCGAATTTGTTTCTTTTTTTTTAAAGTTTTTGTTCTCATTTAGTGAAAAGTAATCGTAATAACCTGAAATTTTTCACCGAATACAAATATTATCACTTTTTAGACGTCATTTAAATTTTAAAATGTTTTAACTGTTTTGGATTATTTATTATATCTTATTGGTTTTGTGAATATGTTCAAAAGTTAAATAATCACCTAATATGATAACATAGAAGTATCGCTAATCCGTAATCACGAGTAATTCTTAGAAGCATTATTGAAGTTTAGATTTTCATAAAAATCGTAAATATTATTCGCGTTATGTGTTGGTACTTTTTATTGATTTTTATGAATTAAATTTGTTTAGCCCCGTAAAATGCTCAGCAATTGTATACAAGGTTTATTTTACGTTTCATTTATTGATTAAATTTTAAAAAGTGGAGCGCAATATCGTTATTTTTTTTATTAGCGCTTAAAATATACATTTTGATGAAACTCGTAAAAATCACAGAATTTTGTGTACTATTATTTACTACGGCTCGTATATTTTAAATTTATATGAATTACACTTTTTTGTTTCCGTATAAAAATATTTTAAATAATTTCACATTAAACTTGTACATTTATAACTGCTCAATTTACGTCATTCCTCACCCTGCTTAGATTCTAAAAAATCCCACATCGACTTTAATGACACTTAATCTCAAAATAAATGGTTTACGTGTTTCAGGTTTCAAAATATAACACCATCGCCGCCGATTACTTTTCACCCATCTGCGGGACATGAACGTCGTCCGAAAGTCGCCAATGCGAAGAGCCGTATAAAAAAAGCGCGGGAAAATCGAGTGTCATCCGACTAAGATCATCTCTAACTTTTACAGCCATGTCACCGTCACCGTTTTGGTTACTGTGGACGGTGTTATGCTGCAACGCGGCTATCGTCAATTCTCAGTTGGCGTGGACGCCGATTTACGTGGGATCTAAGAGTAAGTTATACCTATCGTATTTCTGTACAGTAAATAGCCTTTATTTTTTTTTTTCCAAAATCTCAAAAATGAGAGAGAAATGCGAGCTGCAATACTTCCTCGACAGTAAAATAGCCCATTCAAACCTAACCTAACCTAACCTAACATAATATTTCAGTCGGCAGTTCCGTGCAGGGTCCTGTAGTTGATGTGACCTTTGCACGGCTGCGCTGCAGGAATCAAGCTATAGTATAATACTGGACGATAGTTTATGGGCTTTTTCAAAATTAGACTTATGAAAATTGTAGATTTATTGACGTACATTAAAATTATAATGTTCGATAAATACTAGCACCGCGTAGTACGGAAAAAAAAAGCTATAAGGCATTCAGGATTCTTACAAGAGAAAAAATGCACATTTTTATGTTAGAAAAAAATCTCGTCAATAAATAATAATTATTATTACCCAAAATGAATAAATTCGTTCAAAATTGATATCGCATTGAAGATACACGGTCGTGCGTATAGAATATTAAAACTAATGTAAATACGCGTGCCATTTTAATTTTGTTAGACTTTTTTTTTTGCTTTAAAATAATAATAATAATATGACAGTTAAAAACTAATTTTTTTGGTATCTAAAAATCGTGTCAGATACAATGTTACCATGCAATCGCCCAAAGATATCAAGGCAAATCGCATATCTGGTTCAAAAAACGTCAAAGTATAACTTTTTTTTTGTTTTGTATATATACCTATATAGTATATATTGTGACAAGGCGAGCGACAACAATATTCGCTTGTCATAATATTATTATATGTTGCGGTTTATAAAGCTGCAGATGAGATTTTCATTTGTTATTTCGTTTTTTTTTTTTAAAAGGCTGTCGTAAACACATTTTCAATATTATATTTGTAACTGAGACGCATAATAATAATAATTAAAAAAAGAGATGATAGTGGGGACGTATGCGGTCACTGTTGTAGGTGGAAAGTTGGAAAGCTAGGATAAAGAGGAGAATTTAATTTATATTTGTTAGATTCATTACTGCTTACGAAAAACCACTCTGATCCAAGCTCGGTCAATATTGCTTTTTCAGTAATGTGCGTTTTTATGACAACAAAGATTGTTTAAAAAGATTAAAAAATTGCAAATGAAAACTCTAATGCTAATCCTTCAATCTTTTTTAACCTACTGGTTAAGTTTTTTCTCGAAAATTAATAAGAATTTCAAAAATGATCTTTCTAAAGTAGGTAGGTACTAATTAGATTCAAAATCTAACAAATAACCTTAGACATGTTTTGATTAATGTAAGATTTTTAAGAGAAAATTTATTTATAGACAGAAAAAAAATGTACAGCATAGTAAATCTAATAAATCCCTCGCTTCACTCAAAATTAAAAATAAATCGTATATATATAAATATATCACATCATATTATTATTGTAGTTTTATCATAGAGCTTTTTTCATAAACAGTGTGTTTCACTCGAATGTTAATGTGAAATATTGCAGGTAGATGGACTGAAATCGAAATGGTGTTTTTTCGTAGAAAGTATGATTAGTATTTGCAAGATCTTAATACTTAACGTTTAAAAATAAATTAGGATTGCATTCGTTTCAAATGTAAATGACATTTTTCATTTAGATAAAAAGTCCACAATGAAACTTTTAATTTTATCCAATAAAAGCTATCAACGTTAGTACTAGCGTTGCTATCGGTTTTGCTTTATTTACAAAATGTTTAGAATTTTCTAATTCAAATTTTTTTAAATATTAATTTAAACGGTTCATGATTAACAATTATAAATATACTTTTAACGTTATGAATACAATTGTATATTTATGGAGTAGTTATAATAAAAACACATTATTGCTTTGTTGATAATTGGAATCGTGATACAATTTGATGACAATTACATGGAAAAAAGTATGTTTTTTGTTTTATCTAGGTATTAAATATTTTGATTATTATTGAAACATGAAAATATTATCATTAAACATGATATAAGGAAACGATAAAACGTGATAACAGTTTATAATATTATCTGTATTATAGAAAGCATTCATATAATTATGTCGTCCAAATCAGTCGGTATGTTTAATGTAAAATATTATTGGATAATATCAACTAAATAAAAAAAAATAATTTTATATTATGAATATATTCAAGAGGGGGTCAAAACCCTAGGATCCTCCACTCACCGTGATTGTACCACTGAAACTCTCAACAATTATACCATATAGGTAATATTTATAATGTGATTACCTAAATTTCATCGTAGTTATCACTATAATAACATATTATTCATTATATTCGTTCACTTGATGTTTCTAATGATTGGTTTTTGATAAATGATAAGTTTAAAACGTAGTAATAATTATAACATTAATCCAATAGAATAACACAATAATAAATGTCAAATTATCGTTGAAATGGGTAATTATTTCGGTACTTGTTTGCGGTCAGTTTTGGAAATTGTTAAAGGTTTTATACGCGTAGTAGTACGTAATAATGTAATATGATCAGAGCCAGCACGGCGTTAGGGGTGGGCGACAAGGGCCTACGCCCATAGTGCCTGCCATAAAGTGGGGGGCGCCTCAACGATAATAACTGTACTCAATTAATTGTAGGGTGGACGCAAAGCCATGGTTCCATCCAGGGCACCAACATATGTAACGTCGGCATTGAATAATATGATCGTAAAATTATAATTTTACTGACCAGAAACAGCTAATAGATTATTAAACTTATTTATTTATTTTTCAAACTACAGTCAAAGTAATTAATTTTGTGAAGATTTTAAAGTAAAAACTTATATTAATATAATATAACATTATAGACTCTATAATAACTCTTTATCGTTTTTCAAATATGCTGTAGGTATAAATCTACTAAAGTGGATACTCACGTAAACTTTTGTATAGATAAAAACCTACCCTACCTTGTAATAAAAATTAAAAAGCATAAACGTATCTAGGAAATGGCACATCCAGTTAGTAAAATATTAAAATTTACAAAATGATTAAGGCTTTTTTGATTGTACACAGACAATTTTTTTAATGTTAGACGTCTATATACAGTTTCCTTCAAGTAAATTATAAATAATCAATACCTTAAACCGTGTCATCTTTTCAATTTTTACAACATGTACAATTAAAATAAAATCACTTTGAAGACATTTTTTTTATTTTACGGGAACATGCTTTGGAACAAATTTCATTATTGTACACAATAAGTACAATTATACTTATATGTGAATTTCGTCATGTTGTTGTGGTTGGAGGATGTTAAAGTGGGTTTTTTCTTTAGCTTGAAATACTAACTTAATACAGACTACCGAAATTAATCAGGGAGTATTAAATTTTACAGTGCTTGTATAATGCTGTCAAAGTTGTGCTATTTGGCAGTTTTACATTCAAGTCCCGTCTCTACAATTTCTATGTTCAAATTTTACCATTTTTTTTTTTTTTTTTGAAAATAGTATAGTAACATATTATTTGATTATTTGATTATTTTATAAAGAATATATTTTCTACAATACAAAATAGGTGGGTGAAAAATTCGATTTAGTGACTAAGCTGTGCTGCTCAAGGGTGTTTTTTTTTTTTTTAAATAACCTAACTTAAGTAAAACGATAACATTAAAATTTCTTTGTAAAGAATATTTCAAAGAGTCGATAATGAACTCGAAAAGTTTTAACGAACTGTTGTCGTACCTATACAGTATGCATACAAAAATACAATTTATATTAACTGTATACATTACAATAATTTACGTTTTTTTCTTTTTTTTATTATTTTTAGTTTCTTGTACGGTACAGGGCTGCAATGTCAATTTTTATTTTCATTTTTACGGTGATATTTCTATATTTCTTTCGTTCATATTATGTTTGGACCCTCGTCATTATAGAGAATTCTCAGAGGTTTATCGTCCTTATTTCGAATGGTTATTTTTTTTTAAAAAAAGTCTATACTTATTCAAATGGTGTATGTAAGAATATTATTATTTGATAAAAAAAAAAAAAAAAATTTGTATATAATTTTATATTTTTATCACATCATTTGTATTTTGATGTAGTAAATATATACACCAAAACAGAGAAATTGAATCGAATTATTAAAATTATGATAGATATTTTTTTTTTGTTATCATATAATAATAATTGAATTTGTGTTTTAAAATAATATTAATGAAATTAATCTCGATTAAAATATTAAAAAAATATTATTTTTACACATCCCTTGCGCTAAAAAAATTACACTAAGTATTTTCACTTTGTAAATTATATAATATTACACAGAAGACGGGACATTTTTTTTTTCAGTCTACAAAATACTAGTGGTTAAAATGATAGAAAATTTGGAAAAAATACTTAAAAATACTTTTTTGCATCCATAGATCCTTGAAAATTGGAAAAGAAAAATTCCTATGGTTCAAATTTGGAACCAAATTTATTGATAGTATTATAATAAATGATTACTTTTTTCAAAGCCAGTCTTGATTTTTTCATATTTGAAGTTTATTTTTTTTTATCATTGAAATTGCGTTAAAATCCAAACCATATTCACTATATTCATCAGTCATTATTTCATTATTTTAGTTACAACTATAAATATTTTATGCATTCTTGTTTCCTGTCTTTAAAGTATATTATCAAAATTCAGTAATATGAGACTATTGGATCCTATTTTAAAATTTAAAAAGTAAGTTAGTCCCTTAATACGTAGCTTATTCGTATAGTTGATATTACGGTAATATGTATTTGTTTCTGTACAATTTATTTTTACCCCCCTCAAATTTTTCTTTTTCTTTTCGAGAATTTTTCGGAAATGTTGAATTTCCAGTGAAAAAAAAGAAAAACTAGAAAATTTCAAATTCTCAAAAATCAGTAGAAAGTTTTCAAAATTTTACTACGTCTAAATAAGGTCAATATATAAGTATTCGGTATAAAGTAAAGGTCTCTACGAGTATTACTCATTAAGAAATTATAAAAAAAAAGTAATTTAAACAATTTAAAATTTTTCTATCTTTGTGTACAATTATTTTATTATAAAAATCTTTATTTGCAAATTATTACAATAATATTTAATTTTGATTATCGATCTATTTAAGTTTTCGAATTACGTTTGCCTAGCGGTTTCAATATAAAATAAAATATTATTTTTAGAGATAATAATTGTCACAGGTAGGGTTAAAAACTACAAAACTAATTAATGAAAAAATAATTGCTTTTATAGAAATATCTTAATCTTTATTTGCTATCCATACCCCATAAAAAAGATGTTTGGTTCAGATTTGTGCGGTCCGAGATATGCGTAGTTCATCTTTCTACGATCCAGATTCGTGCTATCGGCGTTTTAAGATTCCTGGTTTATATAGGTGCCCTTTAATCCGATATTACATGCTATATCATGCTATGATATTACAGCTATCTAATTCGATACGCGATAGGATATGCGAAACCTGTACAAGCTTAGGGCGTTAATTGAATTCGGTTGTGTATTTTTAATAAAAAGTACTTATATTTACCGTATTGATTTCGATTTGCAATAACCTGTTGTTCGAACGAAAAAGGTAGTATAATTTAATTCGCAAGCGCGCAGTTATAATATGTTTATATACTTTTATTATACTTGACGAGATTATTCAAACATAATAATAATATTATGTCTATCGAAAACACAAATGAAAATTTAACAAAAAAAAAAAAAAAAAAAGAAAACCGCGTTAAAATACAATTCAATCGTAAAGCTGATAGTTATATATGACGCTAAATGTCGTAAAAACTTTAAAGGCATCCCGCCTAGCTTCCGTTTAATATAACAATATCGAACTATCGCGGTTAAAAATTAAACGTTTGGGGGTTGTTATTTTTTTTACACCAGGGCTAAATTAAATTTTAATTAAATTATTATTTTATATTTCGTCCGGTTTATCGTTAAGGCGATGCGTACGGTTATACGGTCAGTTGAGTTTTATATTGTATTATAATATTATGATGGTTACCCTACCGGTAAAGTGACTCGACGGCGCTAGACCTACACTATAGTGCCCAACTACAGAACAAAGGGTGTACCAAGAGACGGTGACCGTGACCGC